TGAAAATAACTTATCTGTATTCTTAAATGACTTAAATGAGGAAACCTGGTTTGAGGTTTTTCAGTCCCCTGTGGATAAAAAATATGATGTTTTTATTTCTATTTTTAAGTACTTGTTTGACTTGAATTTTCCAAAGATTGTTAGTGTTGATTAGGGAACCAGGAATTGTGTAGTCAATGGAAGTCAAATGAAATATTAGAGAAAATACCCCCGCCGCAGCAAACCTGCAGACTAAGCGAATTTCCATTAACCTGATTGGATTTACACTAAAATGCCTCCATAAAAATAGCACATTTATTTCCTATTTAAATAAAATTAGTTTAACGAGTACATAGGTTTGCTGCAACAGGGAGGGTAAAAAGGATTTTTTTATAAAATGATAATAGTTTAGTAAGAAATAAAAGTATTTTCCAAAATTGATCAAAATATGTTCATAAACAAGCAAACTACAACAGTTGACTTATTCTCCATAAGAATAACATGGGAATTTTAAAATTACAATTTTTGTGAATTTTCTCCGTAACAATTAGGCGCATAATAACGCTTCAATATACTAAATTATTTGTTTTTTTAAGCTCTACAAAATGGTTTAAAAAGAAATTGTGAAATTTTGTGTTTTTAGGGTCAAAAATGGGAAAAACCTATTTTTACCCCATAAAACCCCCCATAAACCCCCGTTCCCATAGTCCGATCATGCTGGTTCGCGAACTCATTCAAGTTTATCGCGCCTTACACCTTCAAACCAAATTTTATCAAAATCGGACAAAAATTACTCAAGTTATCGTGCGGATGGACACATATATATATATATATATATATATAGATATATAAAAATTTGAACGAATGGTGTTTTTGGCCTCTGGGGACATCAAAATGAAAAAGTAAATCGGTCCCGGGCTTAGGTCTTACCATGAGACCTACGGTAATAGCTACTTCCCTATAGGGAAATTCGCTAAAAAGGCACCTCACGGATTTGGAAGAATTAAGCAGAGTGCAAAAAACAAAAGAGTTAAATAGAAAGTTGAAAATCTGCAAAAAAGACTTAAAAGAATCAATACTTAAATCTAAACAAACATTTTACAATGGAAAAATAAAAAGTGCAACAAACAAAACTAAAATGACATGGAATATAATTAAAAAAGAAATAAAATTAAACTCAAAGAAAAATTCTAACACCAACATTAGTATGTCTCAAAATGAAAAAATCATAACATCCAATTGCTGTGAGCAATATTTTAAACAACTTTTTTGCTTCTGCTGTGGAAAAACTAATTTTGCCCTCTGTTTCTCAGCAATCTTTACAAAATTGTAACACTCAACATAAAGCTCCAAATAAAATCTTTAAATTTCAAACAATAACAGAGGATTATCTTGAGAAAACTGTTCTTTCTTTTGAAAACAAATTTTCCTCAGGGTATGATGAGATACCCATCACAATTGTTAAAAAATCTATAATTTTTATTCGCAAACCATTGACTCACTTAATAAATTCTTCTCTTGTTTCTGGTATTTTTCCTTCTAAATTAAAATTGGCTAAAGTAATTCCTATTTTTAAGAGTGGCAATAGTACAGATCCAACATGTTATCGCCCTGTTTCATTATTACCAGTTTTTTCAAAAATCTTTGAACGTATCGTCACAGTAGAAGTATATTTTCTGTGGTATCGTATATAACCAATTTTCTAATTTTCTTGAAATTAACAATTTGCTAGATAGGGAACAACATGGGTTTCGATCTGGTAAATACACAATTACTGCCGCTGTTGAATTTATTGAATCCATCATAAATGCAATAGACAAAGGTGAAAATGTCATTGGAGTATTTCTAGATCTTAGTAGGGCTTTTGACAGTGTATCACACTGCAAATTATTAGCTTAATTGGAGGAGTTGGGAGTTTGTGGTAAGGAGCTGAGATGGTTTTCTTCATATTTAGACAACAGAGAACAGTTTGTTGAAGTTGATTATATTATTGTCGAGAGTGATAGGGCTCGATACCTTGAAAAATCCAGGTCTCAGTGTCAGACACTGCGTTACGGGGTTCCCCAGGGGTCAATCTTAATCTTAGGCCCTCTGCTCTTTCTTTGCTACATAAGAGGCATGCTGGAGATGATCCCTGGGCCCGATGCATCAATGTGTCTGTATGCTGATGACTGTAATATTCTGTTTTCAGGAAAGTCACATGATTATGTGGAAAAATCTTTGAATAAAACAGTTCAGTTTATCCATGAGTTCCTTGATCAAAAAAATCTATTAGTAAATAAAAAGAAAACAAACCTAATATCATTTTCAACCAAACAATCAAAAGTCAAATTCGAGCCAAATATTTTCTTAATATCAGATAGAATAGATCAAGTGGGCCTAACTAAATTTCTTGGTTTAATCATTGATGAAAATCTCTCATGGGATGATCACATCAATCACCTAGTAAACAAATTATCTTCTGGTATCTATGCTCTGAGACAGATGTCCAGAGTCTGTGATTTGGAAACTTTAAAAATTATTTATTATTCATTAGTTCAATCCCACATTTCATACGGAATCACAAGTCTATGGTGGAACAACAAAATCAAATCTTGATAAAGTACTTAAACAGCAAAAAAGAGCAATTCGCACTATTATGAAATTACGGAAAACCATCTCAGTGAAGAATCTTTTTCGTAAATTGGACATTTTAACTGTGTATAATTTATATATTCTTGAAACCATAATCTTTTTGAAACAAAGGGAACTAACAACACCCTCCAATCCCGGGCATAACTATAATACTAGGTTAAAAATTAGATTGCCTCAGCATAAATTAGAATATTATACAAAGAACCACCTATGCAGGATTGAAATTTTTACAATATTTACCAATAAACATCCGGCAGGAGACCAATTTCAAAAAATTCAAAAAATTTTTAAAAGATTTCTTAGTAAAAAATCCTTTTTATTCATTACAAGAATTTGTAGATAAAACAAAATATTTCATTTGAATTTCCATTTATTTGTCATAATGGACATTTGCGTAGATCTATGTTTTAATGTGTATGATTTGTATATAGATTTTGACTCTATTCAGATACATGTATGTTTCATATATGTTATATATTGAATAAAGACTTTGAATCTTGAATCTTGAATTTGTTTCTCGTGTTTTCTGTAATTTAAAACCTCGTTTAAACAAATCAAATGATATAATCATAAACAATAAGTCGTCCTCTAGTTATATAACAAAGCACAAATCATAAAATTAAACCTAAAATTATAGAAACAAAATGTCGTCGACACTAGCGATCAGTGTCGTCGGAAATTAACTATAGACCACAAAAGTGAGCTTCAAAATTTACAATGGGATGATAAGTTTAGTCTACTTTTGTTGGTTAGTCTATGATTTTACCATTGACTATACACCTCTAAACCTCATAGTCAATGATTTTACTGAGCCGGCCCAAAGTAAGAAAAACCCCTTCTACCAGCATCAAGAACAACCCTTTAGTATGTCAAGCAGATCGTTGCGATAACGCACTAAAGAAAAAATTGATTTTCTTAAAGCACCTAAATGATTTATAAGAAAAACATTTTTGAACTATAAAGTTTGTTCAAACAATGTTTCTTTTATTGTGACTTCAGGAGAAAATTCCACCTCATAAAGTACCTCACAACCTTGTTTAACAGTTTGTTGTGATATCTGACAGAGTTATGTTACAGAGGGTTAGGCTTGCGATTTGCAGCGTCACAGGTATAGAAGGAGGGGTTTAAAAGTGACGAAAAAGCCGGGCGTTACGCAATATGTGGACGGCCCCTAAAGAGCTTTGCATCTTCAATTAAGTGTTACCGTACCTTCTAAGTTCCTGTTGACTAGGGAGTTCTTGAGGGTGGAAAGAACTACGCCACGCATTTTTTTGCTAATTGTTAATTGTTATTTTTTTGCATATTTTGCTAAGTATGTTGAACAGGCTTGTGATCTAGGATTGGCAGTCAAAAGCTCTGCTGAGGTCACAGAGCGTGAGCAAAAATCAAATAAAAAATAATTTATTCCACATAAAAAATATATGTTGATAAAATTATAATATTCATACAATGGATGGTCTACACATAGGCAAAACCTGTACGTGGGGAACGAGTTGAATCAGTCCTCCTAATCAACATTACCTGTGAGGACCATGACTCCCCAGCTTCATTAATAAGCACCTGTTGACGACTGACACTGAAGTCAGGGACAGGGGGACACAGCCATGTTAATTTTTATTTGCATCCTTTTGAGATGACCTGCCAGAGCAATCACAAACTCTCGAACTAATGTTCGTTTGGTCTTACATATTATATTAAATATATTTAAATAATATATCGGCCTTAAGTTAAGAATACTAGATCGATCCACTCATCTCCATTTTATACTTCGCTAAAATACCTCTTCGTATGGTTGCAATTTTAAATTAAAAGTTTAAGAAATATTACGTCGAAATATCTGTCCAAGGAACAGCAAAAGCTCTTCAGCACTCCTGTCAACAAAAGTCAAGGGATCGTGGCTATCTGGAATGTTGGAGATGATTTATTTGACAGATGAGATGAAGATAGGATTTACCATTCACCATTTACTAGAGCATTGAATTCATATGGACTAGTTTAAGCAGTTACGGGGATTAACACAGTTGATCACACTCTAGACTTTTGCACTGATTATGAGAGTTTTCTATAAACTGACCATTGGCCAACCTTTTGGCTTCCTCAAACTTTTTAGTACAAAAAATTTTGAGAGCCACGATACTGATACAATTTCTGTACCTCTGTCACAGAACGTGCCCCGATGTAATGTGATGTCGACATTGCGTGACCTCTTAATTTAATCTATGATAATCTACTTTTAAGAAGTGTTCTCTGTACGTTGTTTTACAACAGTGTCAAATCAGCTGATTCCTCATTAGTGAAAAAAGCACAAACAGAAATCGAGAAATCATTTCAAATTACCTGCGCATGCTTCGTTTCCAAATTTAAGCCATTTTGTTAGTGCCCCGTCGTCTGCTTGTGTGTCTCTATGTGTTTATTATTTCCACGTTTTCTGCACAATAATCTTTTTTAATTGTATAAATTATTGTTGCTTCCTCCGTAAAACATACCGGACTTCGAACTAATTTTTATTTGCCGGTTGGTGTAAAATCATTAATTTCATCATATAGTTTTATCAGCGTTTCAATTTATTTCTTTGCTAAATTCGGAAATAAGTGAGTTATATCGATAACATAAATTTTATATACCGATATTTAGTTGGGTCCAATTCTATAAAAATTATAGGCCTAGTCACTTTTTCAATCATAGAATTTTCCATTAACTTCAACCCCCGGAATTCCAAGAGATATGGTGCCCTTTGTGGTTTTTTAGCACTTAGGTAAGTTTTTAGGCTAGGTATTCACACTCTAAAAAAACATTCAGTGAATAGCCTTCCTTCTAAGTGGCAGGCTAGGCTAGGCCTACATACTATTGGCTTGCCCAAATAACTTAATATGGTTTAGAGAGTAGGCTACTTGAAGAAAAGAATCTGAACAAAAACATACCCTACTAACTTGAATAGCCTAGTAAGTTGCTAGACCTATTAATTAGGATAGTCCAATTGCATGTTGGTCCCTAAGAAATAATAGAAAATGGTTTTGTAAGTTACAGTACCTACAAAAGTGTACTCAATCATCAAGTCAGCTGTAACTTATAGTCCTATGCCTACATATTGTTTACTCCCTTTAACGCTACTTTCACACTACATTTAAGGATTCCGCCATCCAGTTGAGAACAGTGAGATTTTACACTGTGACTTAAGTTTTGATTCTTTCACAGTAACTTCAAAGGCCTACACAGTTTCTTAAAGTAGGATATGGTGAGATGAATGTGTTTACAAGGTCACAATAAACATAAACAGTGTCCAATTAGCATGTCAGATTATCAACAATAAACATTGCAATCAGCTGATCTATCTGCAACAGCAGGTGGGCTCCCGTTTGATTTAAAACCAAGCTAGTATGAAAGCTTATATTTAACTAGCTGTGTGCCCGTTCTACACACGGGGATCTTATAGTAGTCAATTGAAACCTTCTTATTAAGAACAGCAGTTGGTTTGCATATTTTCAGATATGCTGGCAAAACTATTAAATAAACCTTTGCAAATACAGTATCTGACAGCTTCAAGCCAAAACAGATGCTTCTCAATTAAATGTCACCCGGATCGTGTTGGTCCATATGTTACTATCAATGATTAAACTAAAAAAAACTTTAGAAAAAGCTCATAGATCTATGAGGCATAGCCCTAAGGTAGGCAAATAGTTGAAAGTTACTTTCCACGATGGTTAAAAGTAGGCCTATTTAAAGTACTACCTCAACCTTACCATTTAACACTTTATTCGGGTTGACATTTTCATTATCAAAGGTACTCTTGTCCTTTTCGTGACACTGAGAAATAAGGACATTCATGCGTTACCAACAGACATACACACAAAAATACAGAACTCAATTAGGGAATTTGCTACGATTTAAGCATAACAAAGTACATATAAAATTAGTATTCTGAAATCTTTGTAAAAGTCATCAAAATTTATCATAACAATATATATTTGCTTGGACCGAAGATGACCCGAAAAGCTGTCGAAATTACGGCTTACTATATGAAATGAAGTACCTACTATAGACGATTTAGATTGGTGATTTTTAATAAAAATTACCAAAATAGGCCACAAACTATTGATACATAAACAACGTAAACCGTAAACAATTCATGATGGTTTGCCGAACAAATGTTTTACTTAAAAGAGTTATCATTTTCTTAGCATAAACTAACATTTTGGAATCCAAACAGAAAAAGCAAAACTTACAGTTAAGACATCAATTAAATTGAATACGGCTGTAATACGACTGTATAAATAAGGTGCAACACCAACGATAACTAATTTGTAAATTACACTGATGTGTTGGTACGTAAAAATGATTCTTGCTGCTACCAACGGTTCTAAGGAAATGAACCAGTACCCAAAACGAACGTTTACAGTTAAGAATTACGTCCGACCAATTAAATGCTTTAATCAAGTCCCAAGGTTATTGATTTCTTGGTTTTGGATTTTCTCGTAAAAAGTTATTGGCATTTCAAGTTATTTCCCATTACAGTAATTGCTTTATTCGTAAACTATTTTTAATTTAAACTTATTGGTGTCAGTTTGAAAAAAAAAAACAATCTTATACAAACAACTTTTGTTATTTAATAGATTATGTATTCTCTAAACAATGATTGGTAAATCTTTTAACATTAGAAGGAAATGTGACAAAAATCACACAATGCTGGGTTTTTGGACGTTTGTAATTTTATTTCTTAAGTAGGGAGGCCGTGTATTCTAGGGAAAAGTACCGGTATCAAGGATCGTTGTCGATAAGGTTGTTATGAATAATTGGGTACGGTAGCTGTAAGTACCCAAGAGATTGGCTATGGGCCTATTGGCTGTATGGTCCAGCAATTGCATAACACGGTGAGTAGGAACAGAAAGTGACACATTGGAAAAGCGAGTTTAGCATCATCCATAAACCGTAAACCTCTGTTACAATCACCCACTGCAGTTGTGATTTTTTACTTTACACTTTACACAACCGCCATTGAAGCACCGTCAATGAGTGGAAACCTTGTTTGTAAGCTATTGGCGACGATCATTAATACATTTAAGTTTCTCAGCCCACAACACTGATTCAAGGTCTTCTTTCTGGTTATCAAAACTCAAGAACAATTTTATACACAAAAAATCTCTGGTTCCTGACCTGGATGATGCCTAGTTATTTAATTTAATTTTCGGTTACACTATATCATTCCACTTGCGATTAATTAAATCCGTTATGAAAAAAAAACGTTTTTAATCTCACTTGGTTGAGAGTTGCCTTCAAAATGTAATAGGAAATGGTTAAGCGGTATTTGTAAACAACATTTGTAAACATATCAGTGACAGCTAGAAAAAATATCTTGATCCGAACAGCTGTTCGTTATTTCAAAGATGATTATATGTGATAAAAATTGGCCGAAAACTTGTCAAAAATCGCACAAAACTGCATTTTTGAACGTCCGTAATTTTATTTACAAAGTAGTGAGGCCATATTTTAATGGCTAAAGACACTCTCGCCAATCCAGTGAATACATTAAAATGACTTTGATCTTGATAGGTACTCTTGTTTTCCTGGAGAAGATTGCGTAAAATGCCATCTTGAGTGTTACAGACAGACAGAAAGACAGACAGACAGAAATTTAGATGAGACTTGTTTCGGCTTCTTTAATGTATAAAATGTAAAAATTACCTAAAAATTTTTGATTCTGAGCAAATTTACTGACAAAACTCTAATTTTATTTATATAGACTAGCCTATATATGCTCACGATGGCTATGGAGCGACAACCGGCTGGTTCAGTGGCAGTGGACCACTGCAAGACAGTTTTCTGCGTGGTTTTCTGCTTATCGCCTTAACCTACCGTGTGAAATCACTCACTTGCTCTTCTTTATACTATAGGCCTACTAAAAACATTTATCCATATAATTTTTAACTGTGTACAAATTTTAACCTACATTTAGTAAGCTTGTTTATGAACTGTAAAAAGAAAAAAATATTTTATTGAAATTATTTTTCTAAATAGGTCACTCCCATTAAATATAATATGTAGATACATACTTTTTATTTCGATGAACTCTTAAGGAACACGAATAAATTGTTAATTTGTATAGATACATCATATTTCTTTCAAAAATGCAATTCTTTCAACTTTAATGTTCAATAATAAATAATAGTTTTCACAGAAGAAATTTACACCATTCAATAGGAAATTTAATTGACTTTAAGAACACCATCGGTGAATAACACAGGTGTTTTAGTTTAGCGGCAATTTTAATTTGAAACAGTGCGTGCATGTCACGTTTTCCCCTATCTTTCCCATGTTATAGTGGCGGTTTTTTGCCACTCTACGGCTCCGCAGCCCCTCTAGTGTTCTGCTAAAGCTTGCTTCACTGCAACATGTATATTCCTATTCGCGTGACCTCTCCTTATTGTTTTTAATCCTCCTAGGTTTGGGCGGGAGAATTTAGTTAGTAGCTATGTCCTTAGATTTTTCTTTTAAATGTTGAAATGAAATAGGGTAATTTCTTTATAAATTGAAGACAGTCCATTCCCTATACAATTTAAATTCCATATAATACTTTGAAATGAAATATATGTTAATTGTCTTTTGAGTTTTTACAAATTATTGACAATCCTTATATATAAATACGTGAAGGCGACTACTCCTCCGTTAATAATGGACGGATTTTTAGAAACGACATGTCAAAATAAAGTTTTTTTTATGTAGACGCCCCCTTTCACCAATTCCGGTAATAAAAATCGTCGGGCTATGCCCCACAGGCCATCAAAGTTGGAGTTTCTCCCATAAGATTAACATGGGGGAATCTAAATATTTAATTGGAAACTTTGTCCCCACTAATTTGAGAGAACGGCTGGGCGTAGAAACTTGGTAGAGGTGTCCAAAGAAAGGTCTTAATCTGTTGATGAGTTATCAAAAGAAAAACTAAGCAAAATCCCTTAGGACTCTGCCCCAGAAGCCTTTAAAGATCCCTCCACAGAGTTTTTTACATTTTGGCCATGTGAATAATACTTTTTAATGAAACAGCTGTTAATTTTAAAATTGTATTTCAAACAACACACATTGGGAGTTACTGAATTGTCCATAGGAAGTATTTGCAATGTTATTTTCTGATTTTAAAATTGATTTTCTTCTTTATCATGTCATGTTTAGCATTATAACGTTCCATTACGAAATCAGTGGAAAATCCTTTTATCACAGCAATTCTTAAATTATTTCTTATTGAACTATCTTACCTTTATCTATTGTACGGGTTGGTGTCTGAATTTTTCACCTCTTTTGTCTACATTTTATCATATTATTCTACACATATAAAATATTTATGTAGAAATATCTGCTATTATCGTGTCTAATAAAATCCAAACGTAGAAACCTTGCCTAATATGGTATCCATCTTGACAAATTATTTGCACCTGCCTATATTACGAACTTTGGCGCACTGGGTTGGTAACATTATTGAAAATAACACGACATTTTGGCTGTAAAATATGGTAGGAAAGAGAAAATACTATTTAAGCAGTACTGTCATGACAGAAAGGTCATATTCTTTTTAACTAGATCACATAATCCCTTATAAGATATGTTGATTAACAATATGTAAACGTTAATATATAACAGCCAATTTACAGTATTTTTGCTTTTTGGAAATGTCCCATTGCTATGTAATTTGCATTATTTGTAGCCAGTGAAGCCGCAAGACCATATGAACTAGGAGTCCCCTAACAGTTCAAGAATAAAAGCCAACTT